GCCTCTGCTCTACCCCCCCTGTTTACTGATTAACCCTTACCAATTTGCTATAGTTATTTTTAAACCTGCCTAAGGCATAAATCAGCATAGAAACACATACAACAAACAACATTCTGCCCTCGCTGGAGGGCGTACCCATTATGGTGCATGCAAGGGATGCAATATTCTTCGCCAGGCACATCTACGATTGAATTGATGCATCAATATGGCGTAGGCTCCCAGCTGTGCAAAAGCATCAGTTAGTTCACATGCTGTTCAATATTATTGACCTCACTGCTTGACCCCCTGGTCCTGAAAACTCCTTGGGTGTTTTCTGAAATCAATGCTTCAGAGACTGTGAACGTTTTAACTTCTCTGCTATTCTAGGTGTAAGTGGGTTTAGGACGTGTGGAGTTTCATCATTTTGTTATCATTCCAGCCAGATTTTTGGAGTTGTTGCTGTCTGTCAATTCAGATACCAAATCCTGTTACTAAGGGGAAAATAAATCACAATAATATTAGCCAACATTTATGTTAGGTTGTAAGATTTGCAAAATTCTTTAAATATATCATCTCATTTGATCCTCACAATGAACCTCTGGTGTAGGTGCTAATCCATTTTACAGATGAGGAAACTGAGTCTGAAAGAAGTTGCCCAGGGTCATACATGGCTAGCTAGTAAGTAACCAAGGCTGAATTTAAATTCGGTTGTATTGTGTGATTCCAATGCTTATTTGCTATACTACCTAGCTTTTCTCAAAGGGTGTGTGTGTGTGTGTGTGTGTGTGTGTGTGTGTGTGTGTGTGTATTTAATGATAACATCTCCTGTGGACATAACCCAAATTCCTGGAAAAATCAGCAGTTTTCCTTTTTCTGTTTGCCTAGACAGACCTGGACTTGGGGAAGCAACCCCACAGTACTTAGGGGAAGCTTATTCAAATGTGGGCGCCTTTTCTCTGTCAGTTGGGTCCCAGAGCTGATGAAGCATTTGACCCTAATGCATTTTAAATCCATCATTTCAAAACCAAAGCTAATTGAACCTGACCATGAAATAAGATTATAGGAATTCATTTTGGGGGAGCTATTGACAACTCACCTTTCACATTTTTATGCAAACTGCCTCCTTTGCAGAAGATCCCATCTTTCACAAGTTGCAAAAAGTGGTAAATCTTTCTATGACATTTTTATCTGCTCATGGACGCTATTTGAGCATGCTAGCAATAAGATTATTATTTTTTTCTGACGGGGTGAGGTAAAGCTGTAGGATAGTATCCAAGCATTTTCCTTAAAAAAGATGGGCTTTGGTTTGCTATACACAGTTTCTAGAGTACCAGTGCCTAATAAACGACTATTAATGAGAAGAATAGAAATATTTGAAATACTTTAAAAATAGATTTAGACATTTTCCCTAAAGAATCAATCAATACATCTTTTCTCTTCTCTAGCCTGTTCTATTCTGTTCTGTTATCTGCTCTATTCTGTTCTTTTTCTATTCTATTCCATTCCACAAATATTTATCAAGCGCTTACAATATGCCAGGCACTGGAAATGATTTTCTTAGATGGTGGGTGCTTAACTTTACAAAATGAAATTAATGTATGTGATTATAAAGAAGAACTAGGTCATGAAAAAAGAATAAGACTGACACAAAGCCTGGCAGGTAAATATCAGTTTAATCTTCCAATTAAATGGCAGAATCGTTGTTGTTGCAGGCTCTTTCCCCTCTGTTCCGTAATCCTTAATCTCCGATTTAGATGACACCATTGATGGTATTCTCACATTTAATTGCTTTAAAACAGGAGCCATTTGTGCGAAATTGATTAGTCTTTACTCATTCCCACCGCCACCCTTACCTCTCCCCCTGCCCTGTTGTTTTCTGGCCGGGCTTAAAGGACAGCCTTGAAATGGTTGAAAACAAGGTTGCTTCCAATCTCACCTCCCCACACTCCACCCCTAGCCTTTCCACAGGAAAATGAGAGGGGGTCTGGAGCAGGGAGACTGTGCCTGGAATATGAAGGCTCATTTTAAACGTCTGCTCACCATGTCAAGTGGAAAGAGTCCTGACGTTCTGTTCTCCGATATTGATCTCTTTGGCTCAAGAGTGATTTATGAAAAGGAAAAGCAGAGTTCTCTTAAAAAATGTTACTTGATTGAATATGTCCATGGAGAAGAAGCTAAGTATATATGCGCTTTGAAGGCCTTCATGTATGTGTGTATATGTGTGTGTGTGTGTGTGTGTGTGTGTGTGTGTGTGTGTGTGCAGGGGGTGGGGAGATGTACTGAGCTTCCCTAATTCTTCGAAGATAGGGGCACCGAATAGATGAGATAATGTAGCTGCCATGTGGAACTTAGAATATTGTCAAGGAAAAATAGACAAATAGATATGTGTATATGGGTTGCACATCTCTACTTAGAGCTGGGTTCTCCTTGGTGTGGGTTCTCACTCTTACAGATTGGGCCCCGTCCTGGTCCACCAGTCTTGCATACCACTTAGCCACATTCTCCCACAGAGAGTCCATCCAATATGCTGAGGTGTTCCCGTAGACCTCTTGACATTTTGAGGGTCCCATGGAGCATTAAATTATTCTCCCTCCCCCCTTACAATGTGACCAATATACCTGCTTTTCTAATATCCATCTCTCCAATGACATCCTTCATGGTACATGGTCCGTGTAATTCTTGGTTGCTCATATGCAATAGCTTGGCCACGCCCTCTAGTTCCACTGAGGTGACCCTCAAATGTGATTCCTCATCCATCATAGTCTTGGGTGACTAGCGGCTATGCAGCACCCCCATATATCAGCCTGACAGCTTGGCTATCACATGCTACGATGACGCTGTGTGTACATATGTTCTAGACAAATATACATGTATACATATGGTTCAGTAATTCAAGGAAGGAATCAACAACTCTCTGTTTGTTTCACTTGAAATATTCGCCCACCTGCAAGCATTGCTATTATCAGATGAACTCTCAAGGTCCCTTTTCTAATTCTGATTCTCTGGCCTGTCTTAAGAAAATGAAATAAGAGAGTATAATCAGGAAAGATCTTCCTTGGGGGAAATGTCATTCTTACTACAAGAAGAATTCAAATATCTGTACTCAGATTCTTTTATTTGTGGGCAAAGTCCAAATTAGATTCCAAGGTGAACAGCCTTTGGTACATTGGAAGGATACTGTCAACAAGCAGTTATTAAGCACCTACTATATATACCAGGAACCATTAAGTGCTATATAAAGAAGATGAAAACAATCCCTGACCTTAAAAGGACAGGTAATGGAGCCCGTCATTTAGAACATGGACCAGGGTTATCTATGTCTCAGAAAAAATGCCATTATTTTGCAATAGAAAATTCTATTTAGTAATTTGGTTAAATTCAACAAATTCTTATCAACATGCATGTTCTCTGACCCTAAGGAGTTTATAATCTAGCAAAGGAAATAAAATATTAATCTTGTTATATAATTGAAATACAAAGCAGGAACAAAATAAGTACCTTAGGTAGGCACAAAGTCCTTGACAAGATCTGGAAAGCCTTAATGGAGTAGGTGATATTTGAGCTGAGTGTTGAAGGATAAGGTGGATTTCAGCAGGTGGGTTCTTGGGCCTGAGGATTGTATCACGTTCAAATGTGATGATGATAAAGGGTAGGGCGTGATCAAGGAGTGGTCCAGTTTGACTGTGTGTGTCATGGGTCATAATGTGACATATGAGTAGAAAGGCAGGTTGGAGCCAAGTCCCAGAGAGCCTTGAATGCCAGGGTAAGGATTCTGAACTTTTCTTTATTGCTAACAGGACACCACTGGAATTGTGGTTTTTGTTTTTATTTTTGTTTTAGCAGAGATGTGACAAGAATGAATGGAAAACAAAACAAAACAAAACAAAACCATTTATGAAATGCCAGGTATTGTGCTGAATGCTGGAGATACAAATACAAAAGTCAAAAGTCTTTATTCTCAAGGAGCTTACATTCTAATTGGAGGACACAATACTTATAGGGAGTGATATTTTTGGCCACATAGAGATATTTTGCTTTGTGAATTTACAAGGATAGGGAGTGTGGCCTTTGGGGAATAGAATACACACCTTCTCCAGTAGCAAAAAAAAAATTTGGTTGTGGCTCCAAAACAGGCAGGAGGAGTGGGATAGAGCATGCAAGTCAGCTGGCAATTAGATTTGTGCATAAGGAAGATTAACTTGGCAGTGGAAATGAAAAGAAATCATCATCATAGCTAATATCTATAGAATACTCAAAAGTTTGCGAAGTGCTTAACAAATGTTACATCATTTGATCCTTACAATAACCCATGGAGGTAGCTGTTGCTAAGACCCTCATTTTACAGATGAGGAAACTGAGGTTCAAAGATTAAATGACCAGCCCAGTGTCAGACCACCAAGAAATGCCTGAGGCCAGAATTGCTCTCAGGTCCTTCTGGTTCCAAGTCCAGCATTTGAATCCCTCGTCCAGACTGCCCCTCAGTTGTATTGCTCATCTGCTGACTTAGGGACACTGTATTTTATAGAAATGGCCCATCATTTCTATGTAGGAGGTGATCTCTGAGGTGCAAAAGCAGCAATGGTTGTAGGCAAAATTTATAAGTGGTGAAATTTGTCTTTTCTCTCCATCTCCCTTTCCTAACCCCATTTCTTCTCATCTCCCTGGCATTGCGCCCAGAACTTTCAGGTGCCCAGTGCCCTTTCACCCACTGATGTTCTTAGGGAAGGAATGATGCTAGTAATTTATATCTCAGTTCTGTTTCCCAGGGACATTTGCATGTTAAGTCTTTTCTCTAATAGCAGAATGAAAGCTTGTTTTTTATCTTTATAGAACTTTGCCCATTAGCAGCCATGGGACTATGCATTGAGAGTGGGGAGGAGGGGAAAGAGTGGGAATAAATGAAAAAATTCCTCTAGAAATGTTCATTGTGAATGGTGGTGCAACACAAGAAAATACCCCTTAAGTAAGAAGTATTTTTTTTCTTCTCTCTTTCTGTTTTTCTTAAAAAAAAAACCAAACAGGTGAGCCTGAACAACAGGAAATGGTCCCAAACAAGAAGAATGTCGTCTTAGTAGATGGTATCATACTCAACGGTCCCACAACAGATCCAAAAGCAGGAGAAAAGTTTGTGGAAGAAGCCTGTCAGTTAATCATGGAAGAAGTGATTCTGAAAGCCCCTGATGTCACAGAGAAGGTAACCAATTCCAGAATTGGAAAATGCTCAGAGATCATCTAGTGTAGAAGTTCCCAAAATTATTTGGCCTTTTCAAAAAAAAATCACTCAGTGCCACGCTGGAAATCTACTTTCTTTAAACCTTTAATGCTTTTTTAAAATTTGCGTCATAGGGGGCAGCTAGTTGGCACAGTAGATAGAGCACTGGCCCTGAAGTCGGGAGGACCTGAGTTTAAATCCGGCTTCAGACCAAACACTTGGCACTTACTAGCTGTGTGACCCTGGGCAAGTAACTTAACCCCAATTGCCCTAAAAAAAATTTTTGTATCATTTAAAAATGTAAAATATTTCTTAAAATGACCCACATGCAACATGATCTTGCAGCCCTTGCTAATCCTGGTTGCCCTCCAGCTCATGTAGCTCCATCACGTGCAGCACTCAGAAGAAAATGAAATACTCCAGATGTGTTTGGACCAGGGCAGAGCAGGCTTACCATCCCATCCCTCTTTCTGCAAATCAGACAGCCTAACATTTCATTCTGTTTTTGGCAGCCATGTCACATGGTTGACTCTAATTGAGCTTGCAATCCACTAAAACCCCAATATCTTTTTCTAATGAACTACCCTCTAGCTAGACCTCCCCTATCTTGTCCTCGTGAAGTTGGGTTTTTTTTGAGCCCAACTTTATTAAGACTTGAGATTTCCTGGAGTCAATGTAATCTTGTTACATTTGGCCCATGGGTTCAAGTTGTGGAGTTTTTTGGGTTCTTGCATCTCTAGCATATTAGCTATTTCTTTTACCTCTAGGTCATTTGAAAATTTGTTAAGTATGTTATTTATATCTTCATCCAAGTCATTGCTTAAAAATGTTAGAGCACAAAAAGACCTCCCACTGGGATATCGGGGCCACAAGACTACAACTCATCCAAGGCTCCGGGTCCTCCCTTCCTAGCTCCCTGCCGACCTTGGCTATCAACCCATTATCTTCTGGTTGTTGTTGTTGTGGTCGTTGAAACCTTTCCTAAAGACCAAAGGTCGTTCTACTTCACAGAGAAAATAGAAACAAAATAAGAGATTAGCATCTTTATCTTCTCTCTGTTGTCTGTTACCATCCCATGTACCCTAAATGTGGCTCTTGTCCCCTCCATGATCATCTCTTTTCCCTAACAGAGCTAGCAAAATCTTCTTCATTGTCCCTAGCTGTTCTTACCAGTTTCCACTCAATGTTAACTTTAGGACTCTTGGCATTGTGTTCAAGTTTGTGTTCATCCACCATTGCTTTCCTTTCCTTTCATCCTCTATACGTGTCTTTAAAAAAAAATCTAAGTTATTCAAGAGTTCTTTGTGCATCCACACCAGTCTCTTCAGACAGCTCTTACTTATGCCTTTAATTGTTTCTGTTTCTCTTTGTATCTCCACAGAATTTCATTCTTCAGAACTTCTTGTCATCCCTGAGATTACTTTGTCGGCAGAACCGTAGCTTGTGAAATTCTCCCTAACCTTTTCCTGGATGCTTTGAACTCTACTTTCCCCAAGTCAAGAGTTCACAACAGACATTTCCTCTCCCTCTTGATTACAAATTCTAAGGTGCAATGGGTCATTTCTCTCTAAGGTTCTCATCATTTATCTCAAGTAAATGATGAGAATCGTCCTCAGAATCCAGTTTACTTCTCTTGGTTCCTTCATTTTTTGAAGGATGAAATTATCAGCCAGACAAATCGAGAAATCATTAGCCATTCCTCTTTAGGTGGAGACGGTCTCCAATAGATGTCTGCATCATGTTCCCTCAGCATGCCCCCATGCTGGGCAAATGAGAAAATCTTTGTAGAGTGCTTAGCACAGTGCCCAGCACATGGTAGATGCTCAATCAATCTTTATTTCTCCTCCTCCCCTTCCCCAGGCTTGCGATCTCTTTCCCAAACTTGTAGTCTATTTCCACTCTGTTTAGATTGTCTACACTACACTCCAATGACAGTATCACTGTGGCCTCCATTGATCTTCACCCAAACATCATCCCACATCTGGTTCCTGAATTTTTCATATGTCTATAGATAATACATGGTACTACTCCAGACCCATTTTTACCTATTCTCTTCCTTTTCAAAAAATAAGATTTACCTATTCATTGCTATTTTCCAGCCAGGTGTTCCATTCCACCTGTTCTGACTTAGGTAAATTTTTTCCTTGCTTTTCTGACCTACTTCTATTTCCCACATCTTCTGTGTTTGTGTGCAGATATCTGAACTGATGGGTTTTATTGCTGCTTTCCCCTCAGCCCCCTTTTTTGTATTCTGTCTCCTCTGAGTTTCTTGGCATGTGTACAACTGTTTTTCTTGTGACATTGTTGTTACCTTCTATGGTACCCAGCTTGGTATATGCCATATTTAGATTATCATAGATATTTAGGTATCTTTCTCTGTCCTCCTTCCTTTCTAGTGTAAAGCCCTTTTCTTTAGATTTGCAAAACTCTAGGCAAATATATTTTTATCAGCCCTTTTTAGCTGTATCCAATCTCTGAACAAAAGCCTTAATTTCCTATATTGTTGAGAAGGGAGGCAGGATCAGGGAAGGCTTAATTAATAGTGGCACATGAGCTGAACTGTGAAAGAAGAGATCAATTCTATTTTTAAAAAATTTAAACATTTTTATTTAAAATTTTAAGTTTCAAATTCCATCCCTCCTTCCCTCCCTCCTCCCTGAGACAGTAAGCAATCAGATATAGGTTATACATGTGCAATTGTGTAAAACATTTTTATATTATTTTGTACAAGAAGACTCAAATAAAAGAAAAAAAGTGAGAAAAAGAAAGTGAAAAATAGCATGCTTCAGTCTGTATTCAATCAATATCAGTTCTTTCTCTGGAGGCAGATAGCATGCTTCATCATCAGTCCTTTGGGATTGTCTTGGATCATTGTACTGCTGAGAATAGCTAAGTCATTCACAGAAAAGAGATCAGTTCTTAAAGTTTGGGGTGAGGAGGGAGTACATTCTTCTCCTGAATGATGGCCTTTCTGAATGGCCAAAGGTGGGAGATGGCATTCTGAATTTGAGGAACAGGAAGGGACTGACTAGCAGCAGTTCACACTTTATTCCCTCCTCCTCCCTGCTTTCTTGTTGGATTGCAAGCTGTTTGGGTGGGGAAGGTTAGATTTTCTTTCTTTGCTGAGCCATATAGGATGTATCTATCATTAGGCAGGCAAATCAGGGAAATCTGAAAACTTCAGCTCCTGTGGTTGACTGGGGGTTGTTAAAATGTCCCAGTGGCAAATCTAATATTTCCAGGGCCCTGCCGAGCGAGCCGGCTGCTGGCGAACCGTAACACAATTTTTTTTTTGGTCATTTCTGATTCCCCTCTGCCTGTATGGATGTGATTTCCAAGTCACTGTTTGATTTCCTCTGCTTCCCCTTGACCTCATGCAGTATTTATAGCATGCATCTCCACATCCCCCTTCCATCTCTAGGTTTGTGAATGGCAGCCTCCGGAGCAGCTGAAGCAACTGCTTGATCTGGAGATGAGGGACACTGGGGAGCCACATCAGAGACTCTTGAAACTTTGCCAGGATGTCATCCGATACAGCGTCAAAACCAGTAAGGCTCTTAATTTGTCTCATGACCTCTAGCTCAGTGACAAGGCGACGTGTTCTCTTAGAAATGGCTTTTCTGTTAGGAAAGCAGATTATAACCAGGTTTATGGGATGGAAAAGATGGAAATTAAAGCAAACAATAGATCTGTTGTTTTCAGGGGTGTCACATAGTGTAGGTTGTTGGCATTTTTTTTGATGATTGAACAAAGTTGACTCTGTGACCAAACCAATTGATTTTTGCAGAAATCTGCTGTGAAGCAAAAAAAAAAAAAACCTGAGTTGACAACAAGATAGCTGATTGGCTGGCTGTGCATGGAAATGGACTGCAGTTTTACAGTGCCCAGCTCTTTCTAATGTCCCCATTCAAAAAGTATTTACAGTGACAGCTTTCCCCTCCTTATTCCAATCCTGTATTCAGAAGTAAGCAGCTTAAATCTGCCATGTAATTCGGGTTCCCGTGTTGGTCATGTGAATCTTAGAAAGAACTAAAAATTCTACATAATGGCCCTCCAGAGTCCTCATGAATGCTAGTAAGAGAATGCTCCTTTAAAGTATATACCTTTGACTGACGTCTCATATCTGAATTTTAAAAATACGACCCACCGGGAGCACAAAGATCTTTAGAAAGTTGAAAGAAGTAGAAACAACCGGTGTATCCTGGCTCACGGACGGCAACACATGGAAACGAGGACCAGCGGCATCATAGGCGATGCCTTGATTTGCTGCTGAATCGGATTTACGTGACGCTGAGCTGCACGAAGTCGTCAGCCTCCCTCTCTCTTCCAGCGCCATAGAAGTCCAGCGGCAGGACAAAAGTCAAGCTGGCTGCTGATGGCCGGGGAGCAGTAGACGACCATTATACTACAGTCTAATGTAGAGAAGCATTGGTTTTCGTTTTGTAGTCGGAGACCCTGAGTTCGAATTCCTGCTCTGCCAGCAGTGTGACCTGGCACAGTTCACTTGCGCGCTCTGAGTCTCAAGTACCTCACTGATAAGATGAAGGGGTTAAATTCGATGAGCGCTCATTTCCCTTTCAGCTCGAAATCTGGGAACTTGTCGCTTATTGGATGCTCTCTCTTCTCCGCGCTTTCGTGATGTTGCTGTGCTTGTTCTTCCTTTTCATTCTCTTTTGCGAGTTCGTCATCCGTATCACGCCCCTTCACTGTAGATGTTCCCCAACATTCTGTCCTCTTCCCTCTTCTGTTCTCCCTCCACGTTCACTCTCTTAGTGACTTCATCGGCTCCTGTGGATTTAACCATTATCACTAGGCGCTCAACTCTTCATGCTCCCTCACCCCACATATCCAACTTGTTACCTGCTTTCACCATTTCTATCTCTATAACATGTCTCAAATCCAAGCCCTCCTCTCTACACTCTCCACTTTAGTTCAAGTCCTGATCAGCTCTCCTTGGATTATTATGATTGTTTCCCAATTTGTTTCTGTCCTTAAGTCTCTCCCCACTCCAGTCCACCCTACACACAGCAATGCAAGTAATTTTCCTCGGATGCAGCTCTGACCAAGTCACTATTCTATTGAATAAAGTCAAATGGTGCCCCCATATTTCTCAGCCTTATTGTTGTTCCATCATGTCCAGCTCTCTGTGACTCCATTTGGGGTTTTCTTGGTAAAGATCCTGGAGTTGCTTGTCATTTCCTTCTCCAGCTCATTTTACAGATAAGGAAACTGAGGCAAACAAGGTTAAGTGATTTGCATTATTCCCTAGAATAAGAATAAACTATACATCCCCTGTTTATCTTTTGAAGCTCTTCACAGTATGGCCCCAATCTACCTTTCCAACCTTGTTGGACGTTATTTCTCCTTCTGTACTCTGCAATCTAGCCAAATTGGTTTTCTCTCTATTCCTCACACATGTCCCTCCATTACCCGTCTCTATCCATGGTCGGAATGCACTTCCTCCTTCCCTTCACTTCATGGAATCCCATGTTGAGAGACTTTGTCTTTGAGAGACAGCTTAAGCGCCATCTATGGCATGAAGCGTCTCCTGATTCCTTCCCGTACAACTGTTAGCCTTCTCCCTCCCAAAACCACCTTGTATTTATCTACTTTGTACTTTTATTCACTTTACTCTATACATATATTTATATGTGTGTGTGTATATATATATATTATATATATATATATATATATATATATATATATATATATATATATATTTACATATGTATGTGTACTATATGTATATTCATTTGAATGTCTCTGCTATTAGAATGTAAGCAAGAATTGTTTTATTCTTTGTACTTATATCCTTAGCACCTAGTGTGCACAGTGTCTGGCACTTGGGAGATACTTGCTAAATGTTTGTTGATTAATTTATTGACCTTCTAAGCTTACATGGATTAAGTAAGTGCACATAAGAATGTGATAAAGTGTTCTTTTTCTTAATTGACTGCTGACACACAAAGTACCCAGTGCCCAAATTTCAAAAGGAGAAAAAAAATCACTTAAAATGAAAGATAGAAAGTTTAAAATGCAGTAAAACGCTAATCCATTGCTTAGGACCAGCCCAGCTTGATGCCACGTGAATTCTGACACTGACTTAAATTTAGTGGAAAGAATCTAATCAAATTACAGCTAAAAATAATTGGATTGTATCCCCTTGGGAAAGGCTGGTGTATTTACCAAAAGCCCCGTTAGCATTTCGGAAGCAGAGATACATATCTTATTATTATGGTCTCTGTCAGAAGGGGTGGAATGACATTTAATGTGAGGGATTCTTAGTTTACTGGACTTGTTCCATGCTGTTGCTATGGAAATCACTCATAAATTAACATGGAGAACTCTAAAAATTCTTTGTGCAATCATGGCTTCTAGCCATGCCCAGATTCCATTGGTGGATTAGAGGAAGAAGTTTTCATGTCCTATTTTCACAGTCATTTTGTATTTTAGTTATCATTTATTTATGGGGGTGGGCTGGTTTTAAGGAAGAAAGTCTAATGGAGATGATATTCATCGTAATAGGAAGTCACTCATGGAAATGGTTCCCCATGGATTCCCGATGGGATCTCCTCATTTAGAAATGGGGAGATGTTAGTTTGTTCTGTAACGTTCCATGATTACACATGAGATCAAATATCCTGTGAGTTAGGGGTGTGGAAAATTATTCCCAGGATGTAAAGCCAAGGACCTCAGTGATGCTTATTACAAGAGGCAATGGAGGATAGGGGAAAGAACACTGCATTTGAAATCAGAGGACCTGGGTTCAAATCCTGACCCTGCCATTATCTGTGTGACACTGGACAAGTAACCTGACCTCTCTGGGCTTCACTTTTATCCTTTGTAAAATGAGAGGATTGAACAAGATGACCTCTGAGGTCCATTCCAGCCCTAAATCTGTAACGCTATGTGAAAACCAATGGGATTGTTATGGCAGGAGATTGCCTTCTAGAACCAGAGCAGTGCCAGAGCTGGAAGGATCTTTGAGGCTGTTGAGTTCAAGGCCTGAGTCTCCTCTCCAAGGAGTCAATGAACATTGCCTTGACCATCTCCACATTAGGGGAAGCAAGGAGCAGCCCAGGTCACTTTTGAACACTGTAATTATACCGTTTCATTGAGCCATAATTTCTCCCCTTTAACTTGACATTCTTGTTCCTAGGCCTAATCCTTCCTTTCTAGGATGACACAGAGTCAGGCTATTCTCCCTTTCACAGGAAATATTTTTACTTACTCAGTTCAATTCAATCCAATTCAACAAATTTTATTAAGCAGCCACCGCATGCAGAGCACTTTAGGATACAAAGACACAAGGAAAGAAGTTCCTTCCCTGGGGTTGTCCATTTCTTTGCCTTTATCATGGTGCCTAATATATAGTCAATGAATGCTTTGTTGATTGATTCTACTGGAGGAGTTTACATTTTTCTCCCCTAAATCAATCAGCAAATGTTTGTTAAGTGATTAGCTCAGTGCCTGGCACACAGTAGGCACCAAATCAATGCTTATTGACTTACCTTGTTAACTTGCTTGCTATATGCCAAGCATGATGATGGGCCCTGAGGCTGGAAAAGTTTCCAGCCTCAAAAAGCTTACATTCTCTATTTTTTCCAGTCTAATATCAACCAGTCAGTCAACAAACATTTATTAAGCAGCTATTATGTGCCAAGTACCATCCTAAGTGCTAGGGATCCAGAGAAAGGCAAGACAGTCCCTGACCTCAAGGACCTCACAGTCTGATGTAAGGAACTTTGTATGAGGAGGTCACTTGGTCTTACTGAGCTTCAGTTTCTTCCTAATTAAATTGAAGAGGCTGAATGAGATGGCGTCACATTCAGTTCCTTCAATACTGCTTGTGTGATGTGCTTTGAAGTCCCTTCACAGTCATGGACACCTAGATCATCTATCTCCAGGTGTTCAGTGCCCTTCCACCAATGCGGCACCCAGTGCTAGATGCATATTCTAGATGCGGTCATCCCAGCCCTGCTTGCATGTTTCACTTTTGAAAGTTAGTCTCTGGGGGCAGCTAGGTGGTGCAGTGGATAGAGCACAAGCCCTAGAGTCAGGAAGACCAGAGTTCAAATCCAGCCTCAGACACTTGATACTTACTAGCTATGTGACCCTGGGCAAGTCACTTAACCTTGATTGCCTCTCAAAAAAAGTTATTGTCTGATATTTTCTGCATTCTAACTGCATTTAGTAATAAATGCATATGTTATAGTCACCTTGACCTTTGTCTTTCCACTGGACCTTGATGATTCTGGAGGAGGAATGAGGTATCCCTGCCTCACTTAAATCCAATTCACATGCATTATCAAGACATCACCCTCATAATGTCATTGGTCCTCTTCAAGAATGAAGCATGTTCAACAACCGTCACAACAATGTATGGCTTTGAAGGCAATGACTTTCATTTTCGGCATGGCAACCATGTAGGTACTTAATATATGTTTCCTGATTTATGTTGCCAGTCCTGGAGGTCTAGTTTGAAAAATATAAGGGTGGATTTACCAAGAGTAACAGATAATAATAATAATACCAATGATATTAGTGCTAGCTAACATTTATTATTAATAAACCAGTTCACTGGGCATTCTGTTTCATATGCAAGCACAGAAGGACAAAGAACAAAGTAGCAGTCCCATTCCTAAATTTTAATTCTTGGGAATCATTTCTTTGAGTGACCCACTATTGAAATTTACAACATTGAAACCATGTGCCCAGTAAAAAAGTGACAACCAAAAAAGAAATAGACTATTAAAATAAGATGTGGAAAAATTCTTCTAATCAACTAATGGAATCTGGAGTGATCCATGAAGAATTATAATAATGGTAACTATTTTTAGTGCTTCATATTTTGCCAATTCCTGGGTGCAAATCTTGTCTCTGATACTTACTAGTTATGTGACCCTGGATAAGTCACTTAACCTCTATGCCTCAGTTTCCTCATTTATAAAATCAAGTGATTGGGCTCAATGGCCTTTAGGGTTCCTTCCAGGTCTAAATTTATGATGTTTATGTGAATTACCTTACTTCATTCTCAGAGCAGCTTTGAGAGATAATTACTGTAGCTCTTGTTTTCCCCATTTAACAGATAAGGAAACTGAGGCTCAGAGAAGCCATGACTTGCTCATGGACAAAAGCCAGAATGTATCCAAGGCAGGATTTGAACCTGGGTCTTACCTATTTACAAACCAGCCATTAATGCACTTTACCAACCTGCCTTTCTAATGAACAAAAGTTTGTAGAATATGTGAGCAACTCCTCGTTGCCTGTCCCCCATAAAACCCAGCAGGGCAACACTGTTGGTGTCTGTTCATAATATTAAAATCTAGGGTTCATGCTGAGAGTCAGTTTCACCAGCTTAAAAGTCAAAGCTTCTAACAATTTGGCAGACAGCAATTAAAGGGGATGTTTCTCCTGGAGTAAAACAAACATAACAAAAATAGGAAAAGGATGTTTTCTCCAGAAATAAACTGAAGGTTCCCTGTTGAAATTGTCTGATTGCCTCGGGGCAATCTGCCTGTTCCAGGAAAAGTGCCATGAGAAAGGACTTTAAAGGTTCTCTCTTCCTCTGCACATGCATGTATGAATTAAGAATGACTTGTGTTTGAATCAACAGATCACCCAAGATTCTTCAATCAGTTATATGCTGGCATTGATTACTATGCCCTAGTCGCTCGGTTCATCACAGAGGCTTTGAACCCAAGTGTGTAAGTGAAGTGTTACTGGAATTTTGTGGCAAGAATGGATTTCTTTCCATTCAGATATTTGGAGCATTTGCTGAATGTTTGTGTCCTGGTTCCATTTCTGTCCTAAATAATAGTCATAATTGGTGACCTGAACATACTCACTTTCAGAGGGGTGAAGAGGGACACTGATCTATGATTTAACTGATAGGGAACTCATGATATGGAATCTCCCTCCATGGATACAGATCAATGGCTCAGCTGAAACTTCATAAAATCATAGCTCTAGAGATGGAAGGGATCCTAAAGACCATTGAGTCCACCCCCCATTTTATACTTGAGGAAACTAAGGAACAGAAAGATTAAATGACTTGCCTATGGGCACACTGTGAGCATTGTGTATGTCAGGAATTGAACAGTGGTCTTTCTGACTTGGGCAGCTAACATGGCAGAGTGGATAGAGCGCTAGTCTGGGAACCAGGCAGACTCATCATCCTGAGTTCAGCTCTGGCCTCAGACGCTTACCAGCTATGTGCCCCTGGGCAAGTCACTTAACCTTGTTTGCCTCAGTTTCCTCATCTATAAAACGAGGTAGGGAAGGAAATGACAAATCACTTTATTGTCTTTGCCAAGAAAAAACCCAAATAGGGTCAAGAAGAGTCAAATATGACTGAAAGGATTCAACAACAACAACTTCGTGACTTAGTATTCCTTATTGGAATCTCTTAATAGTTCTTAAGTCGTAGCCCCATGCTCCTCTGAGTGAAGGGGTGTGGGAAAGCCATAATGAATTTTCTATTGCCCACTTTCTTCATGCCTATGACTGTTTGGGCTAAGAAGGGGATACAAACAATAATAATAACTGGTACTCATATACTACTTTAAATTTTGCAAAGCACTTCACATGTACAATATCATTAGCAACCTCACAAAAACCCTGTAGAGTCAGTACTTCAGATATCTTCATGCCCATTTTACAGAAGAGGAGACTGAAACCCAGGGAAGTTAGCTGATTTGCCTAGGGCCACATAACTAGTAAGAATCGGAGGCAGAATTTGGACCTAGGTCTTCCTGACTCTAACCACAGCATGCTATATCCAATATATACCCCACCAGACCTCTCAAAATATAAGAGAGTGAGTCTTCCATTTTCTTCTAAAACAAACCAACACAAAAATACTAGAAGAATCTTACACGATACAGACACACACATTAGACAAATTTCTATATACCTGTATCCACACAAATGACATTCATAACTGAGATGAATTTTCATTTTTCTCATTGGCTTCAGTGATTGCTAATGTGTTCATCACACTGCCAGCATGACTATTTCTGAATATGTCGTAGTCAGAATTTCCATAATATAAAGTTGGTGGCATCGTTTTTGTTCTAATCTCTGAGATGCAGTATTTTAAGTATGCTTTAATTTAATTTATTGACTTGCATTTCCAGATCTGTATTTGCATCTATAATTTTAAGGTTCACACCCCACTTCTGATGTGCCAGGGTGACATTGGACAATTCATTTAACCTCATAGGGCCTCAGTTTCCCCATGTGTAAGATGAAAGACCCTACATGGTCTTAGGGTCCCTTTCAGTTCTGTGTCCATGATCCTATGACCTTTTCGAGACTTAGTTTTCCTCATCTGTAAAATAAGGGGGTTTCACTAGATGGCCTCTGAGGCCTGGGGTCCTTTATCTCCTTTCACAAGCTGCTAAGGCTTTAGAAATGAGCCCAGTGATCTACTGTATGTAGGTCACCTGAGGGACAGCCTAGCTGAACCATCACCACCATGAGGTTGGCCAGCAAGGTGGTACATTTGGTTTTTGTTTTGTTTTGGGGGAAGGTGAACTCATGAGAGTTGACTACTCAGGTGTGAACAGACTGACAGCCCCTTGGTGGAAAGACCTTTGCGTAGCAAAAATAACTCCTTCACCAAACTCCAAGGTCTATCTATGCAGAGCAGAACAGGCATTGGTTCAGCGTCAAGTGCCAATAACCCCTCCTGTTCTTGTTCCCTCTTTTGCCGAAAGATCCAGGGTAGAAGTAGAGCTGAAAAGAAAGTCCAGAACAAAACAGACTTTCTAGCTTTTAAATACAGCGTCCTGATTTCCTGTTTTCTGCCTCAAAGGACTAGTAACTCAAGTCTCCAAACCTTCTTTGGCTCATTGGCCACTAGTATTTATCTACATGTGAATAACGCCTTCATTGCTCGTGTATTTCCATATCCTGGAGGGGAAATTTCCTGAGAACCACACCAACTCAGGACCAGTAAATCCAAGCCTGCCTTTTTCTGCTGAAAGAACAGGAGTGTAACTGTTGGTACTTGACTGAATGATTGAAGCTGCTGCCTTCAGGCATGTCTGTATGTATTGCTGGGGAAGGCAGAGGGACATTTGGACCCTACTTGTAGAATTAAAGCTTCTTTCATACCTGTCTAGTTATACCTATGAGGTGTCCCCAGTGTTTCTGTTAGTGGAAGAAGCTGTTCTGAAGAAGATGATTGAATTCATTGGCTGGAAAGAAGGGGATGGCATATTTAACCCAGGTAAGAAAGACGAGTTATTGCCTTTTTCCTTCCTTTTCTGACATTTTAAGAGTACGTCACTCTCATCTTTTATATTAAAAACAAGATCTTGTGTACTGGGCATTGATGCAAAACGCTGAATGTTAATGATGCTGTTTGGCGAAGACGGATCTTGTAGCTTTCTTGAAATTGACGGCTGTGTGTGCTTCCATGCATGTAACCCCACAGAATGGAATGAAGTCTGTCTTCCCAAGAGTTGGGGTCCTGTCTCTCTCATCCTCAACCTTCTATGAGTGGATGCATGAGTGAAAACGTATTTATTAAGCATTTGCAACGTGCCACGTCCTGTGCTAAGTGCTGAAGAGATAGATACAAAAGTAAAGACACTTTACCCTTGAGGAGTTCATTCTAATTGAAGGAGACAATACATAGAGGGGATTGGTGGCCAGGGGAAGGCATTTCAGTTTGGAAAATTACATGGGTAGGGAGTACAGCTGTAGAGGAGTAGATGGAGACACTCTTTCCAGGATCAATCATTTGAAAAGTGGGGTTGAAGGGAGAGGGGGAAGGGAAGGTGATTGGCAAAGAGAGATAGCTGGGGAGGAAAGTGAAGCCTGTCTAGAAGTAGCTTGGATGGAGTTGCCTATGTGAGGATGAACTTCTTCAGTCAGGATGAAGAGCTCAGATTTTACATCTAACCATTGTGTGACCCTGGGCTGCAATTCAGATAATCTGAGGCAGCCCCCTTGGAAAAAGAAGAGCTGTGATTCAAAACCCTTAGGTAGCTAGGAGCACTGTGCTTGGAGTCAGGAAGACTTGAGTTCAAATGTGGCTTCAGATACTAACTGGGTGACCTTGGGCAAGTCACTTAAACTGTCACCACTTAGATACCTAAACAAAGGTAGAATAAGTAACATCATCACTATTTTACAAATGAGGCAGTGGATAGAGGGCTGGGCCTTCAGTCAGGAAGTCTGGTCTCAAATACTTACTATCTGTGTGACCTTGGGCAAGTCACTTAAACTCTGCCTCAGGTACCTCCTCTGTAAAATGGAGGCAACATTAGCATCTACCCCACAGGGTTGTCATGAGGATCAAAGGAGATAATACTTATCACAATGCCTGGTATATAACAGGTACTCTAAAAGTATTAGTTATTATAGTTGTTGTTGCCATTTTTTACTAGAAATTTTCCATACTGATAAAATAATAGATGCTTCGCTGTGTATGTGCATGTGTAGATAATTGGTCTGGGCCTAGGATTTCCTTGGTTTGAGATACTACTTGTACGGAAGCTCCCTCCATCCAGATTGTTAAACTGATTGGCAAACGTGCTGGATTGGCCAACTTAGAGTCTTAGAGAGACCCCTGAGGCTGCCCAGCCTCAGGGCATGTCAGAGGTGGACCTCAAAACCAATCAACCCCCACTATGGACATGTGTGTGTGTGCGTTTGCATGTGGGTGTGTGTAGATTGCAGTGTGATGTAGTGGATAGAGCTTGAATCTGGGAGTCGGGAAGAACTGGGTTTAAATCCTATGTCAGAAAGATACTGGCTGCTTGACTTTTATAAATCCTTCACCCTCTGAGTGGCCCAGGCAATTCCCTGAGACTAACAGTTGCTGTATTGCTAGAGGAAATTTCCTCGCCAAGAGTATTCTCTATCCATGAAATCACAGGTCCTGAGTTTTTTTTTTTTAAGTTGATATTTATATTGTGACTCTAAATCGTATACATATACACATGCATGCACATGTGTATGAATACAATGAAGGAGAGACAAGTAGCTGGCTCATCCATTCACTAAGTTCACATACACTGGGGAGAAATGAACTTGTTCAGAAATAGGCTAGCTATGGAAAGAACTTATGACTAAACAAAAGATAGACAGCAGTAGAGGATGGAAAAAGGATAATTTTGATTATATTAATTTAATTTTTTTTTTGCACAAACAAAACCAATGTAGCCAAGACTGGAGAGAAAGCAGAAAACTCTGATAAAGGCCTCATTTCTCAAACATGCAGAGAACTGAGTAAAATTTATAAGAATACAAGTCATTCCCCAATTGATAAATGGTCAAAGGATATGAGCAGGCAATTTTCAGATAAAGGAATCAAAGCTGTTTATAGTCATATAAAAATTCTCTAAATAACTATTGATTGGAGGAATGCAAATTAAAACAACTCTGAGGTACCACCTCATATCTATCAGATTGATTGATATGACAAAAAAAAATGACAAATGGCAGGGATGTGGGAAATTAGGACACTAATACATTGCTAGTAGAGTTGTGAACTCATCCAACCATTCTAGAAAGAAAGTTTGGAACTATGCCCAAAGGGGCTATAAAATTGTACATACCTTTTGATCCAGCAATAAACACTACTACTAGATCTGTATCCCAAAAAGATCCCCTCAGAATGGAAAGGAACCTATTTGTACAAAAAATATATATAACAGTTCTTTTGTGTCATGGCAAATAATTGGAAATTGAGGAGATGTCCATCAATTGGGGAATGGTTGAACAAGTTATGGTATATGAATGTAATGGAATGCTATTGTGCTATAAGAAATGATGAGCAGGTTTCAGAAAACCCTGGAAAGACTTACATGAACTGATGCAAAGTGAAATGAGCAGAACCAGGAGAACATTATGCACAGTAACATCAGTATTGTAAGGATAACCAACTATGAATGACTTAGTTGGTCTCAGTATTAAATGATCTAAGGCAATTCCAAAGTACTCATGATAAACAAAAGGCTATCCACCTCCAGAGAAGACACTGATGGAGTCTGAATGCAGATTTAAACATACTTCTACTTTACTTTCTTTATTTTTGTTAATTTTTTGGTCTGGGTTTTCTTTCACAACATGACTAATATGGAAATATGTTTTGCATGCCTACACATGTATAACCTATATCACATTGCTTGCTCTCTCAGTGAGGGGGATGGTAGGGAGAGAGGGAGAGAATTTGGAACTTGAAAGTTTGAAAAACAAATGTTAAAATTTTTTTACAAGTAATTGGGAAAAAAAAATTTTAAAAAAAGAAAAAAAATGAGTTAGAACCATATAGGGGAAACTCTTCATAGGTTAGAACTCCAGGATGAGGAAGCAAAGGCCTGGGTACCTCTGTTGTTGACCTGTTAAAATGGGAATCAAGTGGAGAATTTGTAGCCACTGGGGAGCCCAGGTCTCAGGCAAGGTCACTTGGGATCCAGGGCACAGTCCTCTTAATGGCTTATTCATGGAATTATTTCTAAGGTGCCTGAAACTGTAGCTAAGAAGAGCTGAATGTCAAAAAAGATACCTTCAGAGACGTTTTTTCATTTTGTTTTAACAGGTGGTTCTGTGTCCAATATGTATGCCATGAATTTGGCTCGATACAAATACTGTCCTGAGATTAAGGAGAAGGGACTCTCTGGGTTGCCCAGACTGGTCCTTTTCACATCAGCAGAGGTAAAGTCATTGCCCCAGGGCCAAGACTATTTTCTAAAAAGTTATGTTTCATAGTGCAGGTTGATTCTCAAGGCTATTACTGTATGACTTATTATAGCTGTGTATTAATAACGGATGACCAAAATAATGGGATGTGATAAAGATCACTATTTTTATCAACATTGGGTATAGAAAGAATTTTAATAGCAGACTCAAAAAATCCCAAAGATCACACGTGAGCATGGATACCACATGTATACACATGTGCACACACACACACACACACACACGACACACGCTTTTATACACACTGTGCATCACCTTTATTTGAAGTGGCTAGTAAATTTATAGCTAGGCTCTAAAATTCTCTTTCAAGAAAGGGAAAATTTAATTTAAAAGACAGCACATTCTCTCTCTGGGCAGTGTCTTCCTTGAGCACCTGATTAATGGGATTTCAGAGGGCTGAGAATAGGATCTGTGGTGACACATCCAGGCTGTGCTGCTCATATTCTCAGGTTCCCTTGGGGATTAATAGACTCTGTGCCAAATGCAAATGGCAGCACCTTTGACTTTCATACAGATAGCTCTGATTTTGAGCCTAAGCTATTCTCCAGGGAACTGGAGGGAAAAGAATCCAATTATTGGGGAGACTTGTACTCTTCATCCACTCAACAAGTATTTCTTAAATATCTACTGTGTGCTAGGCAATGGAGATGCAAAGACAAACCCAAAAGAGGGCTTACCCACAATGAACTTATATTCTATTGGGTGAGAGCAATATAAATACAACTAGGTAAATAAAAATGTAAAAAAAGTAAATACAAAGTAATTTCTCCATGGGAGGGCATGTTTATAGCTAACAAGGGAATAGGAAGTGAAATCTGAGCTGAATCTTGAAGGAAGATAAGGGTTCGTTGCAATAGAGTTGAGCCAGAAAAGCATTCCAGGCCTAGAGGACAGTCTGCAAAAGTGTGGAGGTGGGAAATGGAATGGTTTCTTTTTTTTTTTTGGTTAGGCAATGGTGTTAAGTGACTTGCCCAGGGTCACACAGCTAGTAAGTGTTATGTGTCTGAGGCTGTATTTGAACTCAGATCCTCCTGAATCCAGGGCTGCTGCTCTATCCACTGCGCCAGCTAGCTGCCCCAGGAAATGGAATGTTGCGTAGAAATAGCAAATAGACCAATCTGATTGGTACATACTGCATATCCAAGAGAGAACTATGCTGTAAGCCCCAAAGAGTAGACTAAAGCCTGATTATGAAGGACTTTAATTGCTAAACAGAGCATGTTGTCATCCTAGAAGCAAGAGGGAGCCCCTGGAGTTTCTTAAGCAAAGTAATGATATGGTCAGACTTGTGCTTTTAGAATACCAATTTGGCCACTACGTGGAGGACAGATTGGAGAAGAAAGATACTATAGTTAGAGAGATAAATTAGGAAGCTGTTACAATGACAGACGAAAGATGGTGAAGGTCTAGACTAAGATGGTGGCCCTGTGAGTGGACAGAAGAGAATGGACACAAAAGAGATGGTATAGAAATAGAATTGACGAGACTTGGATATAGAGGTGGGTGTGAATGAAGAGTCAAAGATGGCTCCTAATTTGTGAACTTGGGAGACTGCAAGGATAATGATGTCTTCAACAGAAACAGAGAAGCTAAGAAGAGGGGAGGGCTTGAGGGGAAAGATAATGAGTTCTATTTTTCACATGTTGAATTCAAGATGTCTAGAGGATATGGCAAGGAAATGTTCAATAGACACTTGGAGATGAGACTCAGAGCTTTGGAAGAAGATTAGGGCTGGGTATATGCTGTAGATCCAGGAAACATCTGCATAAAGATGGTGGTTGAAGCCTGGGGAGCTGATTAATACCTGAAAGAAAAGAGAAGAGGGCCTAGGTAAGAACCCTGGTTTTAACCCACACTTAGGAAGCAGGGTATGGATATTAATCTAACAAAAGACTGAAAATGAGTGGCCAGGCAAGTAGGAGGAAAACAAGAAGGGATTATACTGTACCATAAGAACCCAGGAAGTAGAAAGTACCTGGGAGAGGGGTTGGCCAACAGCATCATGTACAGAGAAGTCAAACAGGATGCAGACTGATAAGAGGCTTGCAGATTTGGCAATTACAAGATTACTCTTAATCAAATTCCTCAGCTCCCATGATGTTGACCTTCACTCTCCCTCAGCCAGGTGCAAGGGATGGCCACACCCTTTATCTTAATGTCACCCATAAATGTTCCACTGGAACTTTGGAGAAAGTAGTTTCAAGTGAGTAGTGTTGGACACCAGACTGCAAGGTGATGAGATGCAAATAAGAAAAGAACTAGAAATAATGAGTTTAGATGGCTATTTCCTTGAAATTTGGCTGTGAAATGGAGGACAGTTGTGGAATGATAGCCTGAGGAGCTAGTAAGGTCAAATGAGACTTTTTTTTGAAGATGATGATGACTTGGGTACATTTATATGCAAAAGGGAAAAAGCCAGATACTTAGGAGAAACTAAGAATTAGAGAGGAGAGAATGAGTGTAAGGGTCAAGATGCTAGAGAAAATAGAAGGGGACAAGATCAAGGGCACAAGTAGAGGCATTGGCCTTGTCAAGAAGAAGGACTATCTCTTTATAAGACATAAGAAGGAAGGATGAGAGAGGAGGATTTTTTTAGATGAAAAATAGTTGTAAAGAAGGAGTTCATGGCAAATGGCCTTTGTTTAGTCAGTGAGGTACCAAGTAAGATATTCTGCTGGAGGGAAAGAAGGAAAGAATGATTTGGAGGTGCCAAGGAGGGAAGAGTAGTTTTGGAACAGTCACTGTGGGTGTACATGATACAGTGAAAGTCTATTAGGGAGGAGTAGAAGCATTACTTTGCTACAATGAAGGCCCAGGTAAAATAAAATAAGATTAATTTATAGTGGACCCCATCAATATGGTTATGCAGCTTCCAACACCATTGAGTAGCACATGAGTAAAAGCAGAAAAGGTGAACAGAGGGGGTAACTGAAAGTTGAAGTTTGGTCAAGTATAAGTGGTGATTGGATAAGAGAGCAAGAGATTTGAACATAGAGGGCTGTGTATAACTGAACTGATGAACTATAGAGTCAAGATGGGGAGAGCAGGAAAGTGAAGCCAGAGCAGGGGCGATGGCCTTAGAGAAGGCTGAGGAATGGTGGAGATGGAAGCCATAATAATAAAGATGAATCAATAAGCTTTGGAGGAATGAGACTCAGAGCAGTGATAGAAGCTTAGAGGAGAATTTATGTTTAGAGGAATTTCAGAATTCCTGGTCCTGGAAGTAGAACACTTATAGGTGATGTAAAAATCCAAGGATGACCACCCCTGTGTGTGGCTGAGATAAAGTGAGGGTGAAAGTCATGGGAATTGAGGAATTTGGTGAACTGGGAAAGGCTCATGGGGCCATTGATTTAAACCTGGAAGGCGCTTAGAGGATATCTATTACAACCCATTCATTTTTCATCTGAGAAATGGAGGCCAGGAGAGGTTAACTAACTTGTCAGTATCTGAAGTGGGATTTGAATCCATGTCTTACTGACAGCAGTGCCATATTGCCTTTCTTGATGTGATACCAATGTGCATATTGAAGTACCTAAGTATGAGGGCAGCGGTTGGAGCAGAGAAGAAGACTGTGAGCCATGGTTGCAGTTCTTGAGAAAGAAAGGATAATGACCTGGGGACTGGTACCTGGCTGCTGCCAGGAACTAGATTGGGTTATCTATCTGGATGGAGAGGCTTAGAAGAAGAAAGGATGCTGACTGGTGACGTGGGCTTCTGCCATTATAGTAAAAAGACCTGGGTTCAAATTCTTCCTCTTCTCTTTACTTCTCTGTGTGACCTTAGATAAATTACTAATCTTCCCCAGTCCTCAGTTTCCTCATCTGTAGAAATGAGGGAGTTGATCTAGATCAAGGGTTCTTAACCTTTTATGTGTCATGGACTCCTTTTGTCAGTCTGATGATGCCTATGGACCCCTTCTCAAAATAATGTTTTTTAAATACATAGTATTGCAAAGGAAGCAAATTATGTTGAAATAGTTATCAAGATATTTTTTTAAAAACTCCCCTATACATTCTGATAACCCTTGGAAGAGACAATCCTCTAAATTTTGATTCTGTGACACTAAGAGGGGAAGGCTTTGCCTGGGATAGCTAAAGATTACTCTTTCCTAGAAGAAGGGGGGCTGGCTTCTTAAAATTCCCTTCCACTCTTTCCCATGGAATTTCTTCTTTCCTTTCCTAGTTTCTCTTCTCTGACCCAGCCCCCATTCTGAAGGTCATCTTCTACATACAGTAGCTCTAGGCCATTGTCAAGTACATGAGGAAGATAGTTACCTGACACTCTGAACTCATTCTAAAGTCCACTTTCCCACCTCCCTTGGCTATTTTATTTTATAACTAAAAGCTACTTTCCTTTGGAAAAGGGCAAGGTGCCCAATAGGAGGTTGCCAGTAGGAACCAGCCTTACTATCTTCCCTCAACTTGATCTCCTCAGGAGATTCTGACCTTTGCTTTTGGTTCATTCCATGCCATACAAGGAAGAACAGATGAGAGCTTGTAGGCACTCACTAGACTACTTGTCCTGGGTTTCTAAAACTGGTTTTCAATAGCAATAAGGGCTTCTTCTCCAGGGGGTCTTTCTTCAGTGACAAAACATAGATGTTTGGGAAACGTGAGTTGTTTCCCAAGGAGATGTGAAAAGAAGTTTTGGGTGTCTGGAGGAAGGTGCTCCTTCTTCCTCTAGATTTCATCTCTGAGTCCTTTCCCTTTCTAATACCCATGTCCCCCTCCCCTGAATGCTATTGATGGACAGGGGAAAGAGCAGAATCAAGATCTAACTAGCAAAATCTAAGGCAAGAATTCCTAACTAAAGGTCCCTAGACCCCCAAGGTATCTATGGATAGATTTCAGGGGGCTCTTGTACTTGGATGGGAAAAAAATTGCATCTTTATTTTCATTAACCTCTAACTGAAATTTAGCCTTTCCTTCAATTAGGAATGTAGGCAACAAATATTCTTTTGAGAAGTGGTCATTTGGCTTCATCAGTCTGTCAAAGGGGGTCCATGACACCAAAAAGGTTAAGAATATCTGTTTCAGGATTTGGACAGGTGTTTCTAAACCTGAGAAAGCCATCCTAAGTAGGACATATGTTAATGGCTCCTTTTTTTTTTTTTCAATTTCCCTTTCTTCATTGTATTTAAACCTTGCCTAAGCTAACCTAGACATATAACTCTGGAAAAGGGAAAGGCAACTCCATTGAAAGAGAGAATAAAGGATATGCCTGGGAAAGCTCAGAAACAAAGGTGGTGCTAGTAAATTTCAACAGAGTAAAAGGAAATTGGATCACCATACCATTGTGAAACATTGGCTAAATGACTTTTATATCTCAAGAGAAGGCCTATATGCAAAGGAAGGCAGAAGAGATGCTTTGTTCATCTTGCCAGCAGGAGAGAGACAGAAAACAGAGAGAGGTAATGGACCTAGTTTTCTCAAGAATGTCATTTTGAGAGAACAGCCTTGAGAAGTGGCTATTTTATTATTATTTTAATATGTCGTTTTTCTCTTTTAGAACCAGAATTAGGAATTCTGGTAAACCAGGGAAAATTTATATAAGGTTTGGGGGAGCAAGAATGGAGTCCCATGGCATGAGAGACCTCATACTACTGTGCTTTGTATCTTATGAGGAGGTGGCTCAAGGGAGGAGTCAAGCAAGGCCAGATGATGGAAAACTCATCTGGGTAGCCACCTTAGTCACGTGGCCTGACATTGACATTCTAAGGTGGAGCTCTGTTCCCCTTTCTTGCACAACAAAATGTATTCAGGCTATAAAATTGACATTGGTCCACTCATACTTATCAGTGTTACAGCTGGTACCCACCTGACGACCTAAACTCACACTAGTCTATTTGCAATGGGATCTGAGAATTGCTGAATCCCGTGAGAACCAGGCTGCAAAGAAAGGAAGAACATGAGGGAGTCTATTCAATCCACTGGAGCCCTCTAAGAGATGGGTATTCAACTTCCCCTGTTGTCTTCTAGGCCCCTGAGTGTGGGCTAGTGCTTATTGGCACAGATTGCTATTTTCCACACTGCTACTTTCCCAAGCAGGACAACATTCAGACTCTGTCATTACAGGTAAACTGAGGCTTTGTGGGATCAGAATCATACACAAACAAGAGGAGCTTTTCAGTCAAAAGCACTAGCAATATTCACTAGGAGGTGCCAAGGACATAGAGATAACTGCTCAATGGTCCCTACCCCAACGAGTTTCCCATCTTGCCAGAGGAGACAACATGCCCATTTCTAAATAGGCACAAAATGGAAGCGAGGCAATTTGGGATGGAAAGCACTGGCAGCTAGGAGTGGAGGGAGCTGAGGGAAAGTTTCATGGAGAAACCGTCATTAGAGCTAAATCTTGAAGGTAACTAGAGATTTTCAGTGATGGAGGTTGGGGAAGAGCATTGCAGGCATGGGGAACCTCCAGTGTAAACGCATACAAATGGGTGTTGTATAAGGAACACTTTGATATGTATTTAAATGTAAAGATGCTGTTCTTATCCCATTGCCCACCTAGAATGGAAACTCTTGGAAAGTAGGCACTGTTCTATTTTGTCTTTATACGTCTAGTTCCTTATATGTCATAAGTGCTAAATAAATGCTACTTGCATTGAATCCAAATTCATTCAAGCCTCCCATTTTGTAGAGGAGGAAACTGAAGTCCAGATATAGGAAGCAACTTTCCTGAGATAAAGATAGTTGGACAATAGCAGAGTTGGCAACTCTTGGTTGCCAGTTGAAGGCCCTTTCCATGACACCATGGTGATTTCTCAGTAGATTCCTCCTCCTCTCTGTACGGCGCTGCCCAGTCTACTGGATAATGTTGACTCCATTCATTGACTTAGTATCTATGTAACATTTGACAAGTCACTACTTTTCAGGACCTCAGTTTCCTCATCTATAAAATGCAAGGGTAGAACTAGGTGATCTTTGAGGTCCCATCCAGCTCGAAATCTAAGCTCTTAAGATCTTATGACTGGGGTTGAATCAATTGGTCATTAAAGCATTTATTAAAGCAGTATCAGCCTATGTTTTGAAATCTTCCCCGGTTACAAATATGCTTGGAGATTCCATTAAGCTATTGATAGTGATCAAAAGATTATTCAGATTCCATAATTTAGTAAAAATATTTAAAGCAATATCACTTCCCCACATTTATTACAATCCAAAGCTTGCTTAGCTTTGGGTGGTCACCAAGACTTTATCCACAAAAGTGTGTTAACTCTACCCTGGTCAGGCCTCATATGTTTAGAGAAAACATGAATAGGATAGACGTGCCCAGAAGGGAATAAAAGGCCTGGAGAAAGGGTGAGGTTTGATTGAAAGCCCTGAGGACATATAGCATACAGAAGAAAATACCTAAGTCAGTGGCTTCAAATTTGGAGGGCTGATGTGGAAGAGAATTCTGGCCCCAGAGGGCAGAAACAGGAACCAATGGAGAGAAATTCCAAAGAGGAAGATGTAGGTTTGATGTAAGGAAGAACTTCTTTTCTAAAGAAAAAAATTTTTGAAGAACTTCTTAACTACTAGGGCAACCGTACCATATGGTATGGGCTGCCCTGGGAAGTCATGGGTTCTACCTCACTGGGGGTCATCAAGCAAAGACTAGATGGCTAATTTTTGGAAGTGGAGAGGGGATTCCTTTACAAGTCTGTGTTAAACATTTAAGAGATGCTATCTCTCATATATTGAAGGGCCAGAGAAGATTGGGGTATGGGGGAAAGGGAAAGGGGACAAGACAACTGCCTTCAAGCATTTGAAGCGCTATTATATGAAAGAGAGATTAGATGTGTCCTGTTGGTCCCAGAGGGCAGATCTGGAAGTAGTGGGAGGGAGCTGCAAAGAGAAAAATATAGGCTTGATGGTGGGAAAAACTTCCTAACAGAAGGAGTAAGCATAAAATGGAAGTGAGGTGCTGCTAGAGGTAATGGGTCTCCCCACTCCCAGCTGCATCATCCATCAGGACATCAATCAATTAATCAGCAAGCACTTGTCAAACCCATACTGTGAGCCAGGTGCTGTGGTAGATACCAGGGATGTAAATATAAAAATGGAATAACTTTTGCCCTCAAGATGCTTACACTCTATTAAGAAACTCTCTCTGATGGAATTCAGAATGGCAAGCCCTCAGTTCACCGCCCTCTTCCTTCTAGTTGCTTCCATTTTTTAAAGTAATAATGAAAGTCTGCAGAGAGTCTTTGCATGTTTCCTAAAACTGGGGGAGGGGATGGAGAGAGAACTGGGGCAAGTTTTTCCTTTTCCTTTATGCTGTTGGTAAGAGTGATTCTTTTGTCATTAAATGCATTTGTTTTCTCTGAACTCCAGCTCATTTGTGTGTGTGTACGTGTGTGTTTTTCTATGCATACAAACGAAGCATGCCTGAAACATCTACAAGGTGCTTCTCCTCCCCACCCCCCCAGCCCCTTTCCCGGGCTTCTTTTCTTCCCTGCTTCTCTGAACTGCTCTAGCTCTGCTCTTCCCTACTTTTATCTGTCCCCACTAGACATTGCTGTCTAGTCTGCCCGTGGGTACAGATGCTCAGCCTCCACTTCTGCCGGCATCCGCATTCTGATTGCCACTTTAGGTATTCTGTGGGCTTGCTGGTTCCCGAGTTTGGAGTGGGCTGACATTTCCCAGTGGCCCCACAAGACTTTTCAGAGAGCCTAATAGGCAGGTTCTGGGGTGTGGGCGAGTATTTATCACTCTGAAATCAATAGCTGTTGTTTGAGGTCCCAAACCTTGGGTGGGCAGCAGCTCCCCTGAGCTGGCTGTGCCTCTGACCATGCACTGATACAGGTCGATGTTGCAGCAGCTTAATTACTTTTCTTTGGACCTGATTGTTTGTCAATGGGCATTCTGCTGTTTTTGTAACAAGAGGAAATAAAGGCAGCTTACCAGAATATGTAGGATGGCCTCATCCTCCCCAGTGGTATTATTTCTACATTTGTTTTTGCAAAAGGAAATAAGAAAGTGCCAAAAAGAAAAAAAATGCTCTTGCCAAAAAAAAAGAAAAATAACCACAGTCAAGGAAATACATCAAGCTGAGCACAGCAGGCATGAACACACTCCTTCCTACTTATGGATAGGTTAGTTATTGTTGCTTAGAGAACAATGGCCATGGGTGCCCACAGGCACTTGGAATTTTGAATCAGAAGACTCTTTAAAGATGATCTAGTCCAACTCTCATTTTAGATGTTTATTAATTGTATTTTATTAATTCATATTCATTTTCCAGTAGAACATGAGCTTCTTAAAGGCCAGCGCCCCTCCACAGGAGTAAGCAGCCGCTCTGTTAGAACGTTTGAGGCAGCTGCATATGCAGGTTCTTTCCTCTAGAGTTAGCAGTGTTGAATGTAAGCATCTTAAGGAAAATGTTCTCTTTTCTTTGTTCAGGGAGTAAGAAAATGGGGTTCAAGGGTCACACCATGAATCTTATTAAGGAATCAATGTAATGTTATTTTCCTAGCTTGCTGACTCAGTTTCCCATTTGTCTCTCCTTTTCCCCCTAATTCAGAGCCATTACTCTATGAAGAAGGCAGCATCTTTCCTTGGGATTGGTACTCAGAATATTTACTTTGTGGAGACAGACTCAAGGTATTGGGACATATTCCTGAGAGGGAGGGAAGGAATCTGTGCTTCAGAAAGGCACTAGTGATGGGGATGATCTAATTAAACAATAACTGAAAATCTTAAATCTATGTCCCTTAGAGGTAAGATGATACCTGAGGAACTGGAGAAACAAGTCCAGCGAGCCAGGAAAGAGGTGAGAGAGAGAAAGATGCAGAGAGAGCAAGAGAGAGAGAGAGAGAGAGAGAGAGAGATGCACAGAGAGAGAGAGAGAGAGAGAGAGAGCAAGGGGGGGGGGAAATGTGTGTGCCAGTGTGGCTATGGATGCTTGTGGTGGGGTATACAAGAGAGAGAAAACAGGAGAGGGTATCAAAAGACATCAGCATGGATGAATGCTCAGGCCACCTCTCCAGGCCAGAGAAAGAGGGCAGAATGTGAAAATTAAAATAGGTACGCTCACATCCAGATGTTCTGTTTACAGGTGTAGCACACTGACTCTCCATATTCTGTGGAGCTGTCCAGATGTTCCAGCTGTGTGGCAATTTAAAAAACAAACAATCTCATTCTCTGTGTCCTTGCCTAGTGCTAAACCATGAGGACAAATATTGCTGCCCTGCAAAAGCCCACCCTGTGCTCTACCTCTCCTGCCTCCAAGAGTCCTGCCGCCTAAAACCAAACCAAACATCCCCCCGCCCCATGCTGCTTTGAAAAGGAATTGAACTTATTTAATCAATTCCCCAGCCTCCCACTCAGGCTGCACTGTTTCCCCAAGCAGAGCCCTTAACCAAACACCCTTCCTGCAAGATCCCCTTTCAACCTGGTAAAGTTTGCCTTTCCCGTGTCTGGGCAGTGAAGCCCTTGCCTGGTCAGGTATCAGCCAAGATGGCCCTAGACCTGACTTGTGGGTGCAGTCTTAGTCCTCCATGCCAGCCATCTCTCTCCTGGACCAAGAGCTACCTACAAGACTTTCCTCAGCATAAAAGCAGGCATCCTGCTTCCCTTCTGCCCCAAGCCCCACTTGCCAGCGGAGCTGCAGAGGTGCTCTCAGATGTCTTATCAATAGGTAGGCATGAAGGATGTAGGCAAGTCAGGTGGGACCACAGGAAAAAATGAGAGCGCCAGGGTACTTAGTGGGCAGAGCAGCCCGCTAGCCTGCCCTGGATTGTAAGGTCTAACAGAGACTAGGTCCTTCCTTACCTGCCCTAATGAGCAGTGTTTTTTTAAGAAACTCCTGTGTCAGCAGGCCACATTTTGACAAAATCTGTTTGGTTTGAATGCATTGAAATTTTTTTAATTTACATGAAGAACAACCAAAAACCCTTATCTTTATTTCATCTTTGTGCTGTAGATATGCATGCTCTGATCTTCATTTATGTTACGTTTATTTTTAAAACTCAAATGACAAGTGGATTTGAAAGTCGCCTGATGATGCCTACACCCCTCCCCCAATATCAAAAGCTCTTTTCATCTTGAGTGAAATGCTAGTTTTCCATTTGGGAGGCAGGCGTTAACTGTGTGAATCATAGCCTTTGCTAAGGCTCCTCTTCCATGGAGGATCTTCAAAATGAATGAGCCTTAACAGCTGTCATACTAATGCGAAGCATCTTATGTAGATTATTTCACTTGTGTCTCAGAAACCTTTTAAGGTAAATGTGCCTATTTCCCCCATTTTACAGATGGCAAAACTGAGGTTCTGAGCAGTTAATTAACTTGCCTGGGGTCACATTGCTAGTAAGTGAGGCAGGATTCAAATCTACCCCCTCCTCACTTCAAGCCCAGCTCCATCTCCACGACTCCCTTTAATGAAGACTCACTCATGTCATCTAAAAGCTGACGGGGCTAGAAAATGTGAGTAGATTGGGAGAGAAGGGCTTTTTTTGTTCATTTGTTTTTACTGAGTTCAACAACATTGAACAAAAAAAATGGCTAGACTGTGTTTTAAGTGCAGTGGAGAGGGGGGATATGTGCCTCTTTTTTTTTTCCTTCTACCTTTCCTTTCTAAGCATCTTTCTAGCCACAGCTTGCTCTGAGTAGTTCTTTTACTGGGATCTTTTGGCTTTAGGCAGAAGTACTTCTCAGCCTTTGACTTGAATCTTTCCATGCCAGAGAAGAGGCTTCCCTGGAGTATATCCCATTCCTTCCATCTAAATTTGAAAGGTTCACTTCCTAGTTCTTCCAGTTGGGTTGGGTTTGGAGGTTTAAGCAAATCATTCATTTGGCTTTTTAAAAAATAATATTTCCCCCCAATTACATGTTAAAACAATTTTTTAAACTTAAAAAAATTTTTTAGTTCCAAATTCCATCCCTCCCCCCACTATAAGTCAGTAAGGAATCTGATATCATTTATGTATGTGCAATCATCGTTCATTCATTTGTAAGCACGTGCCTGCTATGTTCCAGGCATTATACTAATTGCTGAGAATACAAAATTAAAAGCGAACTAATACTTGCCCTCTAGGTGCTTATATTCTATTAGGGAAAATAATACATGTAGGTAAATTTCATATATATGTATGTGTACATATATACATATAACAATATAACACACATATATACATATGTGTATTATGTGTGTATGTATGTATGTGTGTATGCATGAATTGTGATGGGGAAATGGCACTACCAACTTGGGATCAAGAAAGGCCATGCAGAATAAGTAGCACCTGAGTAGCAGCTTTCCTTGGAATTGGAGTGAGCCAGAGATTCCAAGGAGAAAGGACTCATATGTTAATTGGGTGACGGGAAAAACAAAACAAGTATTGTCTTCTCATCGTGATGAAGCCCAAAGTCTTTCTGACTTGGAAATTGCCATTTTCAGCAGATCATCCTTTTTTTAGCTTTTATAAAATGGGTGTGGATCCAGTTGACTTTCACAGGGCCAGCTTCTTTGTAAAAATCTTTTGCTGTGGCTACAAATGATGAAGAAGGAATCTTTTGGCAACTTCTAGAGGATGGAGGAAAAGAATTCTCCAAGCCTGTGTCTCCCCAGGGATTCCACAATTGACAGGCTCATTTCTCTGCTGAATCATTAGCTACTGATTGATTCCATTTGTCACAGCTGTCTCACACAGCTGTCAGGAACCCTTTTCCACCACATGTTTTCTTTAGCAGGTATGTGTCACCTGCCATTCATGTTTTCACGTTACTCTTAGAATTTTGTTTGCATATCCAGTTAGAGATATGATTCAGAAGTGGCCTAAATGAATTGCTCTGTTCTTTGCTCTATTCCATGTAAAACTACCCTGCTGTTTGGCACAGTGGATAGCATGCCAGCACTAGAATAGGGAAGACCCGAGTTCAAATATGGCCTCACACACGTACTAGCTGTGACGCTGGGCAAGTCACTGAATCCTGTTTGCCTCTGTTTCCTCATCTGTTAAATGAGCTGGAGAAAGATACCACTCCATGAGGAGTTGGTCACAACTGAAATGACCAAATGACAACAACAATAATTTCCTGACACTAGACCCAGTACTCTATCCACTGAGCCACCTAGGTGGTGCCTCTGAAACCTTATTTTCATCAGTTCCATATTCTCATTGGATTACCTTCCTTTCTTTTGCCATTCTCCTTTCTACAGCTTGCAATATTAGCTTCCTTTTGGAATAGCTTCTTATTCTAATGTTAGCTTTCTGAAGACTTCCTGTCATCTCCATCTTATGTAAGGAGCAGAAAATCTGTTGAAAGCTTCCCAAGTCCTTTGATGATCAGCTGCCATTTTGATGGATTCCAGAAGAATGAAACACAAACTTCACGTCCAGATAATCTCGCAGAAGATCTAGCTAAGGATGAGCAAAAGCCCAGTCACTGTTTTCCTGCTGGGCTCCTATCAGTTTTAAGGACATAAATGAGGAAGCATGGCAGAGGTTCAGATCCATTCCATAGTAAGGAGTAGGAGAACCCAATGTTTGTCTCCCATTTGGTTTGAAGACTTAGTTTCTTGACTTGATGGAGAGAAAATATGCAAAGGAAACATTAGTTAAAAAAAAAAGCATGACTCATTGTCAGGCAGTGCCAGATTACTAATTTTTACCCCCTTAAGTATTACTAATGACAAGATGTCACTTGGAGATGGAAAAGTCAGATTTTGAAAAAATTCCAAGTAATTATTGTCTCTAAATTGAACATTTTAATTAATCAACACATTATACACCAGCTGGGTGAAGAACGCTATCTCAGGTGCTAGATGAGATGTAAATTTTAGATAAGACACAGTCTCTGTACATGTGAATTTTACAGTCTAATGGGAGGAAAAAACACATATAAAATAGCTAAAGTACAAAGTCACATGGGGTAAATAGAGTTTAACTTACTCAGGGTGATACTGTCATTATTTGTCAGAGTCAGAGCCTGAACTCATATAATCCTGATTGTGAAGCTGACCAAGCATTACATCATAAATTACTGAACATTTACTTATTTATGTGAATTGGTAGAGAGAGAGTTTCCTTACATGGGGAGTTTTCTACACTAATTAAATCACTACTCTAGGGAAAAAATCAGTAGAATGTAAGCTCATTGAGGACAAAGACTCTGGGGGCATTTTTTGGGTCTTTGTAGCTCTGACTTCTGGTATGGGGTCTTGTATTTTTTTAACCTGTGTTTTCATTCCTATAGTGAGATCTGAGTGAGAACATACCTTCTACCACTATTGTTTAGCCACCATTCAACTTATTGCCTTAGAGAGGGGCCTGGAAGCATAGCAAGGTTAAGTAACTTGACCGGAAGCGCACATCCAGTATGTGTCAAAAACAGGACTTGAACCCAGATCTTTCTGGCTCTGGAAGGAACTATCTAGCAAACTGTTTCTAACTTTGCATGTAGAAAATGTTTACAGTTTATTGAATTGAATTAAATAAGTAGATGAGAGAGGGAAGACGAGGTTAGCACCAATGAAAGGGATTAGGTAAAGCATCTTGGATGAATGACATGGGAGTTGAGATTTAAAGTCTCCGTTGGATATCATCAGATGGGGAGGGTTGGGAGGGAGGGGGATGTCTCAGAAGATGTTCCAAAGAAATCACACACAATCATGTACTCCGCTGGGCCCATTCTCTTTCTGACCATGAAGACTTTATACGACTGCTCAGTAATGTGTCACCACTACAGAATGTGCGTCATGGTGCCATTGACGTCCTCACGGGTTTTCTGTTTCTGTGACTTGTTTGCAGGGAGCGGCCCCTTTCCTCGTCAGTGCCACCTGTGGGACAACTGTGCTGGGGGCATTTGATCCTCTAGATGAAATAGCAGATATCTGCGCCAGATACGGCCTTTGGTTCCACGTAGATGTAAGTTTGCCTTTATGTACATATATGTTTAACTCTCAATACTTTGGTTTGCTTTGCCAGGACTGTGTTTTTGTCTTATGTAAAACAGATGGGGAAACTCTCAGTGACATCTACATCTGTGTATATTTCACATAATTAGGAAATAGATATGTAAATTATTTCAGAGTACAAAGAAGTCTCCCTGACTTGCTAGGTACATCTTTTTTTTTTTTTAATCTTCCTGAGTCTAGACCTCCCTACCCCACTCTGCAAATGTGCAAATGGAAAGGCTGGATGGAGTAGTAGAAAAAAAAATTAAGACCTGGATTCCAGTCCAGTTTCTGCTATTAACCCCATGACTAGGTCAGCTCAACTTTTAAGGCTTTTCCCTATCTTTAAAATATACCTTAAAATATGATGATTCCAATATCCTGGAAAGGCAAAATAATTACATATTTGAATTAAAGACCTTTTCCTCTGGCTCTAACAAGGATAATTATTTGAGAAGAATAATTCATTTTTTTTATAGTCCTGTGGTTTTTTTTTTATTGATTTTTTTCAGTGTCCTAGAATTGCTTAGAAATAATTTTTCTTCCTAATTAAAAAAATTCTTCAAAGTCTATAAAGCAAACGGTGAAAAGCTAAATTCATTTAGTTAGGAGTAGCCATTGAGTAATTTACATAAAGATGGAAGGTTAATTGGTTCTATTCTACATGAGGAAAGGGAATACTTAACATTATTAGGTGTTTCCTTAGTGAACTCTCCTTTGTTAAGTGAGTGACTTAGTTCCTATTTGCAGGTAGGAGGATGGCCAATATATTTCGATTTTCTGGTTGAACATTTAATGAGCATGAAAAAACACAGAGTTTTTGTAGTTTGGAAGACTTTTGATCTTTTTTAAATGTGAAATTAACTGTATGATGATGCTGAGAGCATGTTTGGACATATTAAAACTGTCATTCCCAAGGAAACAGTTTGTATTCTGCATTGGGACCAATAACATAGTATTAGGCAGATGACAGGGGTTCTGTTAGCATGCCTCTGCTGGCATTTCAGGAAAATCATTTGGGCATCCCATTTTCAATTGGATTCTCTATGTAAGTGTATTTACATATATTCATTTAAAAACTTAATTTTCATTGATTTTATAGACTCACAAGTATAAGAGCACACTACTTCCATAGCAATAATGTGAAGTGAGGATTTTTGTATCCGCAGGAGCAAAAACACAGTAAACCCCCAAAAGCCCCCTGAGTAATTCATATTTGTTCCACTCTCATCAAAAGAATATCAGATATGGATTATACAGATTTTACGAAAAAGAGCAACTACAGGCATTTCTAAATCAGGGATGATCTTAGAAGTTCTTAGAGCTTAGAGAGAGATGGAATTCTGAAGAATTAGTAAAAATCTCTAATGTCTTCAAGAAGAGAGGTTGAATTTTTTAAAGAAGCTGCTTCATTTTGAGAACAGTAAAATAAACTTAAACTTGGAGTTAGTAGAACTTTTTTTCTTATGATCTTTAATTGCACAAAATTAAAATCCCATTTGATTCTTGCCTCCTCAACTTTTCTCCTCTTCCTCCTCCTCCTTTCCTTTCTTCGCTGACCATAGCACCTGGCACACTGTAAGCACATGAGAAAGTCTTGTTGAATTGATTTTTGTGTTACAATCAATGAACAAACATGCATTACTCGCCTTCAATGTCTCGGACACATTAGTGGGGATATAAAGACAAAAATGAAATGATGCCTGTCCTCAAGGCGTTTGTATTCTATTAGAGGACATAGCATGTTCACATATAAGGACATACAAGCTATTGTATGCTACATGGTGCCTGCAGTGGATAGAGCACCAAGCCTGGGATCAGGAAGACTCATCTTCATGAGTTCAAATCTGGCCTCAGACACTTATTAGTTGTGTGACTCTGGGCAAGTCACTTAACCCTGTTTGCCTTAGTTTTCTCATCTATAAAATAAGCTGGAGAAAGAAATGGCAAACCACTTCATTATTTTTGCCAAGAAAACTCCAAATTGGGTTATGAAGAATTGGACATGACTGAAAAACAACAGCAGCGACAAAAAGCTGTTTAGTCTCTTTCTTCATTGGCATAAGGAACTCCCAATAAAGAAACTCCCTCTACCAATGCAGATTGACACCTGTTCTTCAACTTATAGCCTTAGAATGTTGACTGGGGGCACTGTGAGGTTAGTTATGTGACTTGCCCAAGGTCACGCAGCTGCTATGTGTCAGAAGTGGGACTTAAACCCATGTTTTCCTCACTCTGGAGTCAGCTCTGTGCTTCTCTTATCCAAAATGTAGATAAAACGGATACAAAATGTTGATTAAAAAGCTCATTTTTGGGGAGGAGACATTAGCAGACTTTGTCTGGTTACCTAAGCCACCACCTGTCCTATTTTTCATTCAGCCAATTTGATCACTGGCCAATAGGCCTCATGCTTCTGTCATGACTTCTTGAGGCTATGGTTTGTACAGACTGACTGCCAGAATTCATTGAGGCACTAGCCTGCCCTGTCCCACTCCTGAGATTGTCCATGGCCCAGACTGGCTATCATAGTCTCTGGTGGGCTCCCTTTGTTCCCTAGAACTTTCACACCTAAAGTACTGTACCTGAGAGGTATCTGTGGGAACCTGGGGACCCAGGAATGAGCAATTACACAAAGGCAAACCAAGCCTGAAATATTTTCTCTGTGGGTTTGGTGGTTTATCATTTCTCAGCATATAATTTCAGGACCTTAGTCTGAACCACATTCCTACCCTCTAAGAAAAATCATTGTCATTGTTTTGAGGATAAAATGAGAAAATATCTGTAAAAGACTTTGCAAATCTTAAAATACTATATACATGCTAATTATTATTATTATTGTTGTTGTTATTATTAATCATTAGGCTTACAGAAGGGATTTCATTTTAGGAAATGGTCAAAAGTCAATTAGAGCCAGGTCTGGTGGATAAGATGGGGTGATTGAGCTAGGTAAATGCTATTTTGGATATTTATAAAAGAAAAAAAAACATCCGTTTACATGCAAAACCAGGACAATAAAGTAATGGGATAGATTTTTCTTTCATAAATTGGCTCAGAATGCTCATACAGGATGTCCCAAAAGTTTTTGTGCCATTTTAGACTTCAATAGCTTAAGCCCACACTAAGAGTTTGGGGACAGTCTGTATATTTGAATGGCTCATTAACTGGTCTATTGCATGTTTTAAACAAGTTCTTAGAATATTAAAGTTGGAAGGGACCTTAGAGATGACTTGGTCTACTACCTCTCCCTCCTACTTTTATACAAGAAATGACTGAGACTCAAAGAGATTCATAAATTGCCCAAAGGCACATACCAGGTTCAATTCCACTGAATTCAACCAGAATTTATTTATTTATAAACTGCCTACTGTGTGCCAGCCTTCTAATCATAAGCCCAGGGTTCTTTCATTGCATCATCCTCCCTTCATAAAGATCACTTTATTAATGATCAGTGTTCTCATGGAATAGAACCAAAGAAAATGTGGTTTCAGGATTAAATCTCGGTCTTAGAATCTGTAAAGACTAATTGACCACATAAGATGTTGATGATCTTGACAGTGTTAGTCAACAGTTGTCTCCCAAGGAGTATTTTACTCATACTGGCTGAGGTTTGTTCTGTCTGCACTGACTGAACTGGGCACTAGAAAGAGTTGATGCATGCATGGTTCATGAGATTATTATAACAAGAGGATGACATTTCAGAGAGCATGTCTATTGCTTTTCCCTCTCTCTCTTTTTTTAAGGATTCATTGAACTGCCATTTTCTTAGTAGTGGATAGATCCATCCAATTTCTAAAGCAGAGTGAAAATACTGTGAAAAGATGGGAAAAGCTAATATTCATATGGTCTATTTCTGTTGCCTGTTTTTTGTGGAAGTAAGAGTTTCTGGAAAAAATAATTCTAACAAATCTTGAAATTCCTAGGATGACACTTAATATGTGTGTGTGTATGTGTGTGCCCGTGCGCGTGCGCACGCGCACACACACATTCAATTGGACCTGGAATTTTATAGGTGTAGGGAATTACTAGTAAAGAAATTCCCTGTACCAAATCAGATGCGACACTGTTCTATGATTTATAGTCTTAGACACTTGAGAGTTAAATGATCTGTCCTGGGTCACAAAGTTATTTTGGTTCAGTTGCCAGATTTGCACTCCGGGCTATTGGACTCCAAGACTGGCTATCTGCACAACACAACACTACCTCTTATATGGTGCTTTAAACAGTATTTCATTTGATTCTGATAACTGAGTGAAAGGGATGCTATTTTTTATTCAGAAAGGTGAAGCAAATTACCCAGGGTCCCAGAGCTAGTAAGTATCTAAGATAGGATTCAAACCCATGGTTTCCTGACTCCAAATTTAATATTCTGTTTGCTCCATAATAAATGGTTATTTAGTAAGTGTCTGAAGTAGGATTTTAATCTAGGTCTTGCTGATAGTAAATTCTTTACTACATCCATTCTGCCTCACTGCCACTGTACTTAAGGAATGTGGCCCGCTGTCTCTTTCCTATTTCCCGTCTCTTGATCCACACTTGTATCATTGGGTACTCAGAAAAAGAGAGAGGAGTTTAAAGAGACCAACCAATTTTGAGGCTTCTTAGTTATTATCTCTCTGAAGATAGATTTATTTGGGGAAGGGACTGGTCCTGGGCATTTTCAATTTTCCCTACCACCTATTCAGATGGGTCACTGGGCCATGATGTTACATTTTTATAATGACTATTTCTTGGATTTTCACAACTTAGCAAGCATTGATTTAGTGCCTGCTTCATGCCAAGAAGATGCAGAGATGAAAATGGCACAGTCCCAGCTCTCTAAGAACCATCAGTCTGATAGAGGGATAGGCCAGGCCCACAATTAAGTAGATTATGACAGTGAAGGACAAAAAAAAGGTGACCAAAAAAATAATAAAACTCACAAATATGAGAGCTTGTAAGACTATAAAATCCAAGTTCCTTTTTCTTAACATTTCCCTTCCCAAGAAATGGACTGCCAGCCCTGGGAGAACATTTGGGGTATTTAATTTTTTCAAATTTCAAATCCTTACCTCTGTTCTATCTCTAAAAATTAACACTTTTTTCCATGTGATTTTTAGCTGATGCTTTTTATACCACAGACACTAATGTCCCCTTGAAATAAAAATCGTCTAAGCAAAACTACTTTTTAATTGCAAAACTAAAAATTTATCACCAACTTTGTCTGACAACATATGCATGATTCAGCACCCACCTTCTTTTCAACTAAAAATCTGCAGGATTTATTCTTTCTTTTTTAACTCTATAACTATAAACTTTGTTTAGGTCTGGGATTGTGACAACTGGCTCCTACTTGGACTTTTCCAACTCCAAAACTATTCCTTAACTTTCCTCTTCAATGTCATGGTTCAATTCCACACGCCACCTTTCATCTGTTGCTTTTATATGAGAAAAGCTCCAAGTGATATATTCTTTGCATTAAACATAGGTCCTGGGTCCTGGTAGGTACTTAATGACTTCTTGTTGAATTGATTTGAATAAATGATTCCTGAAGTGCTACAGATGATCTAGAGACGGATGGATGGATGGATAGATGGACAGAGAGAGAGAGAGAGAGAGAGAGAGAGAGAGAGAGAGAGAGAGAGAGAGAGAGAGAGGTGAATAGATAAAGAGATAGAGACAGATAGATGTGTAGATAGAGTTAGATGATAGATGTGTAGGCGGAGAGATAAGATAGAGAGATAAATGGATAGATAGATGGATGGATGGATGGATAGATGGATAGATAAATAGATAATATGAAGCTGGAAGGAAACTTAGAGACCATCTGATCCAAACCCCTCATTTGACAGAGGAGAAAAATAAGACCCAGAGAGGTTAAATGAGTTACCCATAGTCACAAGCTGCAAATTCAGAGCCAAGATTCAAATAAAGGTTTGAGTCAAGATTCCAACTTTATCCAAATCTGGTTTTTTGGCAGTTTCTCAACATTCCATTTCAGAACCTCATTCACACTCACTTCCAATTTTGCTTCCCTTGCTGCTTCTTCCTTTGTCCTAGCCCTCTTTGAACTTATTCACTGTCCAATTTCATCTCTTATTTCCACTTTTAGCACTTCCTCAACCATTCCCTCTACATGATCTCTTCCCTCATCCCTGCTCCAAGATCTCCCCTTTTTGTCATGTAATAGCTCTTAAAATCCTACTTCTACTATTCTTGACTATTGGGACGCAAGGAAGTGATTTCCTACAAGCTTGTTCTGTCCAAAGGTAAATCCCCCTCTCACAAAACAATTATTTTATCCTTTGCCCATCACGCACATAATCTATGTCAGGTGTTAACATTAGTGCCATGTTTGTATATCGGATGCCCTCCAATAAAGTCTACACTCATGGTGTCTACTTTGGATTGGAAACCTCCTGGGGACAGGGATTGTGTCTTTTTTTTCTTTTGATGCTTGGTACAAAGGCTTCAACTAAGCCATTTGTGTGATTTGTAGAATGTAAGATTCTTTATTACAGGAACTATTTCATTATTTGTCTTCATGTACTCAACACCTAACAGTGCCTGGCACATAGTAGGTACTTAATAGACACTTGTTGATTGATTAGTTTGAGTATCAGAACACAGAAACTGGGTTTCCATTTATGAAGACATCTATACGGCACTTGGTATACTTTTGGGGGGATGAACATTTATTGTAATAAAAACTGGGTACCCATTCCTAAAGTGTCGTTTCAAATAAATCATGGATTACCAGTGATTGCCTGATAGTGTACAAATGACATTGTTTTGGTTGACATAAACATCTCTATATATAAATATCTCAACAGGCATCTTGGGGTGGCTCAGCTTTGATGTCAAGGAAGCATCGCAAGCTTCTGCATGGCATCCACAGGTAAATGTAGTTTCCCAGTTCATGGTGGCACCTTCGCTCAGAAGGGACACCCCTCTGGATTTTGTGTTTTAACTAATGTGTTGATATGGGAGAAAACAAAACCTTTAGAAAGACAACACCACCCCAAAGCAAGCAAGCAGACACAAAAATCAGCCCCACAGAAACAACAAAACACTCAGAACTCTAAATTAGATATTAATACTGTGAAATCTGCTCATGAGAACAACCTTTGGTGAATGGGAAGTAATTGTGTTCTTCTCTGCCCCTTCCCTTCCCCTTTTCTTTTCTTCCTCTCACAGGGCTGACTCAGTAGCCTGGAACCCACATAAGATGCTTATGGCCGGGATCCAGTGTTGTGCTCTTCTTGTGAAAGACAACTCGGTCAGTTTTCCTTTCTGTTTTCTTTTGTGGGGGGGCGGGGCACAAAGAGTGGACCAGGATGGGCTGGAGGAATACAGCCAATTCAAAAACCTAGGCTGGGACTAGTGTCTGGAGGTTCTAGAATTATACCAAATAAAGGGCAGAAATTAATATCTGCAGCCCCCTAATAGAAAATGAGCCTGAGGAAAACAGCTGACATCTTTGCTGAAGTCACTTACGACTTTGCTTTAGATGAAGCAGAGCCTGAACACCAGGACTTCTAGAGACAAGCTCTCTGGTGCTCTTTGGGCACACATTTAAAAGCTTGGTTTCAAATGTTACTGAGATTTGTTCCCCTTGAGCACATTTGGGAGTTAAGTTTTCTCTAAACTACTGCTCACTGTGAAAATGGAGCAGATGTTTGTGCGGCTTTAAACAGAATACTTAATATGCTTAGCTAAGCCTTAATAGCCCAGTTTAGTGAAAAGATATTATTTGAAGGTTTCTCATTGGACTGATTTATTGGGTGGCTCAAATGATGAATATTTAGATTGCCAATGGGAGTCAAGATCAGATTAGAAATGATTGGTAACAACTCTTGGGGGTGACCAGTTGATAGCTACCGGACAAGATGTTGGTGGAACTTCCTCTTTGTCTGAGAGGCAAAGAAAAATGAAATTATTCCCCATTCACCAAAAGTTGCTCTCATGAGCACGTGTGTATCACCATGAAAATGAGAAGAATATATTTGGGAAACATTCCAGATGTTTATTTCTGAAAATGCTTTCATAGGTATGTAACACAGAATAAGAAATCTTCCTTTGACTTGGGTATAAATTTAAATTTCTTCCTCTGGGTTTCTCAGATGAAATGACTTCCTTTGGCAAGGCTCAATTCATTTCTGTTTGTATTTAAAATTAAAAGAACTTTAAGATTCCTGTTCCTGTCTTACATCTCTGGCATACATATGGATCTCCTGAGTCTGTGATAGGGATGTGCTAGTGATTGGTGGGGTCTGGTAAGATCGAGGAGAATTTATGGAAGAGACTCTACCCACATAGTAATGTGATGGAATATCATAAGAAATTACAAAAATGAGGAATTCAGAGAAACATAGGCAGACATGTCAGAAGTGAAGCAGGTTGAGTAAGCCATGATAATTCAGTTTAAGGAACATTTATGAAGTACCTATATATGCAAGACACAAAGACAAGACAATAATATATACAATGGCTACACAAACATTAACTAGAGGAATGGTTTAAAGGCAGAACTTTAATGAACAATCTCAGTCCTGGAGAACTGACAAAGAAAAATACTTTCCTCTTCTCAGTAGAGAGGCACGGGTGATGGATATGGAATGGGTTATCTGTCAGACATGGCCATTGTGTTGATCTGCTTTACTGAAATATTTCTTCTTTGTTAGAAGTAAAGGGTCAATGTAGGATCTGCCAAAGGGGGCTGCTGAGGGGTCATGACTGCCATAAAAGTAAAAACAATAATAAAAGAACTTACAAAAACAAGACCATTCATATCAATTTGATAAACATTTATTAAGTTCCTACTACATGCTACTTAGAGGCAGCTTGGTGGTGCAGTGGATAGAGCACTGGGCTTGGGATCAGGAAGACTTGTTTTCATGAGTTCAAATCTGGCCTCAGACACTTACTAGCTGTGTGCCCCTGGGCAAGTCACTTAACCTTGTTTGCGTCACTTTCCTCACCTGTAAAATGAACTCAGGAATGAAACGGCAAACCACTCTAGTAGCTCTGTAAAGAAAGCCCCAAATGGAGTCACAAAGAGTTGGACATGACTAAAATGACTGAACAATAACACATGGTATCTTCTATGCAAAGTGAAGGGGACACAATGACAGAATGAAATAGTGCTTGTCTTCAAAGGGTTTACATTCTGTTTGGGGGAAACAGCATTTACTGAGTACCTACAATGAGCTAAACCCCTTCACTGAAAGGTATAGAGGGATATGTTACTTAGATACTTTTGTTGGAGAAGACACAAGGTACTCTTGTTGGAGAAGACACAAGTAGATGAACAGCTAGATGGGATCACAAAAGGATCCATGTAGAAGATGGCACTTGAGCCAAGTCTTGAAGGAAACGGGTGAAGGGGAAGAAAGAAATGCTTTCCAGAAATGGGGTGTCAGAGGAGAACCAATGCAGAGGCATGAAGCTGGGAGACGGAGTGCCATGTAAGAGGAACAATAAAAAGATGAATGTGAGTGATTCTGGGCAAGTCACTTAAATGCTCTGTGCCTCAGTTTCCTCATCTGTAGAGTGAGGGCATTGAATTCAATAGTCCCTAGAGTTCTTTCCTACTTTAAATCTTAATATTATGACAGTAGATTATGTGAAGAGGAGTCATGTCTAATAAGGCTTGAAGGGTAGGTTGGGTCCAGGTTGTGAAGGTCTTTAAATGCCAAGTTTGTATTTGAGCACAGAGGTAATAATGGATTGAAGAGGGGAGTGCTATGGTTAGCACTGTGCTTTGGAAAGATCACCTTGACATCTGTATGGACGATGAATGGGATAAGGAAAAGATGTATCAGGGAGCCCCATGAGGAGGGTATGGCAATAGTTCAGATGAGAGATGATGAGGGCCTAGACTAAAGGAGTATTTACATGAATGGGGAGAAGGAGGTGGATGGGAGAGATGCTGTGAAGGTAGAAATGAGGAACTTAGAAACTTGATTGGATATGTGGGATGTGTGAGAGTAGGGAGTTAAGGATGACAGTCAGCAGGGAAGGATGGTGATACCTTGGACAGAAAGCAGGAAGTTGAGAAGCTGGTTGGTTTAGAGCAAGCAGGGGAAGGGCAATGAGTACTCTTTTGGCCATGTTGAGATTGAGATACCTGTGGGGCATCCAGTTCAAAACACAACTGAAAAGAACTAAACAACAAAATAATGTAGCCTGAGACTATTGGCTGCCATGTCACTGTTAACTTATTTGAGCATGCAGTCCACTAAGACCCCCAGATCCATCTCGTTCATTGCCAACCTCAGCACCTTCAGGTTTTAGGACTAAGATTGTTCTTACAAGACTATACCACTCTCCTGCTTCCATATTATGTTTCTGCCTTTGCTGCCATCTTGTTAAAATACAAGTTGAACACATTCCCTTAGTGTCCACATGAGTCTCTTTAGAGAGTTTCCAGCACCTGGTACAGTATCTTGCATATAGTAAAAAGCATTTGTTGAATCCAATTAAATCCCTGACTGGGCTGGCTTCCCTTGAATGATTTTAGACTATGGGAGCCCACTTAGCTTTTTGAGACTCACTCATCTAAAACCTTGATTGCATGGAAGCTCATGTCCCAATGGCCTCTGCTTCTCTATCATCAATTCTAAGATGAGGGGGTTTAGGTCTTTCCATGGTTCCCCTTATTTTGACCTCAGTAGTCAGTTCCCTTTCACTGGTCAGAATCAGGTCTAATATCTAAGTTCTATATGTTGTTTCTTTCACTTCTTAAAGGATGAGGTTATCCTTAAGGCCAATCAAAACCTTGATAGTTACTTGGCATTTGGCAAAGCAAGCTCCAGCAGACATCCAGATAATTTGAAAGTCCCTTGTTGCTACTATGTCATACCTCTGTGACAGCCTTGCAATCTGCTTTCTGAATTCCTTGTATTGACTGCCTTCCATTCAAGTGGTCTGTTGTACATTCCCATGATAGAATTGTTTGGATTTCTCCATCTGCTGATTTTTACCTAAATGTTTTCTTTCTTGCTTTCCCAATGTTCCTTGCATAAGTATATTTTCTTACCCTACAATACCATTCTACCGCCATCTTTAATTTTATCTCGTGGTCTTCATGAAGGCATGATCTTCCAGAGCCCTATTCCAGTCATGAATCCTATTTGAATTCCTGGCTTAGTTTATCTAGCTCAACACTCTTATTCCCCACACTTTGTCTAATTCTGTCAACATATGTGGAGGCCATGGGTTTTATTGCTGGCTCTTTTTGTTATTTTGAAACTTGTGTCACAGCTACCAGTCACCATGCTATCCATTTTTATAGGCACATAACAGATTTTTTTCCTCTTTTCCCTCCTCCATTTTCAGCTCAAAGCTTTATTAAACAGATTTTCAAGACTCCAGGTAAATAAATTTTTAACCAACCCTCATAAGGTGGACTCCATCATTGGTCAAAAACTCTTCATTCTTATGTTTTAAGATGTGGTTGAGAAATTCATATCTAGTCTTCCTTGGTCAGATGTTAACTTCTCAAATCTCTCCTTCTCTCCTGAAGCCCTGACCTTTAGTCAGTATAAAGAGGTGGAAATATTACCTGCACTTCCTTAGTCTTGTCCCAGACCTTCTCATCCCTAATGATCATTTCATTCTTCCCTCTGGCAGCATCGTCGTCCAGATTTGAACCACCAAAAATGCAGAGTGGTTGTCAGATTTGACAAGGCTTAGGAGATTCTCCATCCTGTCTTGTATACTTGTTCTGTAAAGAGCGTCCACCTCTCTATTAGTTATTGTAGATGCCAGCAGGGAGCCACCAAACACCACTCATTTGTCTCTTCTTTCTCTGACCTTACTCCTGATATTCTCTCTCTCTCTCTCTCTCTCTCTCTCTCTCTCTCTCTCTCTCTCTCTCTTTTCTCTCTTTCTCTCTCTCTCTCACTGCTTGTAGCTCTTCTATTTTTCCCCCCAAAGAAAACATTCTTTCTGAGAACATAGAAAATGGAAGCATTTTCCTTCAGCCTTTTGTCTACTCTTCTAGGATGGAAACCAGCTTGAACTTTTTGCACGTGTAAAAATTGTTTGGTTGTAGTAGAAAGGCAAACATCATGAATTTTCTCTAGATCATTGCAAAATTCTCCTCACCCTCTAAACTTGCCGTATATAAGCTCCTCGGTCCCAATTCCCTTGGCAAACCTTTATTACCTGTTGGCCATAACAGTTTGCTCTTGTGGCCTGAGTCTAGTGGCTCCTGAACCAAAGCTTAATGGCTATAATTTCCTGTCTTTTCTCTGGAGATGAGGCCAGGTTACC